TTATTGACGTCAGCACTTGAACCCAGTTAAGACTACCTATAAGAACAGTCATCGACACAATAGGTCAACATTATCCAAAGTGAGAAATTGGTATCACCAAAGTAGAGTTACCAAATGTTATTAATCACATCACTTTCGGTTTTCCAAATATCCAGTTTGGACTTACAAATCTGCTGGATTGTTGAAGTAAACTTGATCTTTTGGACCGCAAATTTGGTCCAAAATTGGTGTTCCCCATTTTGGCTGTGACAAAATGCATTACGTCAGCCAATCGAGACTATATCTCTCCTGCAAAAATTCTCCGGGACGCTCAACCCAAGCACCGTACGGTAACGCTGGGAAAGCAGAACAAATTCACAGTGGATGACGCAAACCAGTAGGTTGAAGATACTCGTTTTATCTTTGTGTGTTCAATATCACATGATGAAACAACCTATAGAAGAGTCTCGTTAGTTGAGTTACACGCAACTAACCGGCTTTACTTACAAACTGAAGAAATCAGAGTTCAGGCCTTTGCATCCTCATGTTTGGGACGATTGTTTCCCACTTTATTTTTGCCAAAATCACATATTTCTGGTTCAGCAGAACAGATGTCGAATAACGGAAATCTTTCCATGAACAATGTAATCGTTGATTCCATCAGTCAACGAACATGCTAAAACAAAATCAAATTCCGACAAATACTCACATTTGCATATCAATTTAACGGGAGACTCACCTAGAGCCCAGCTGAGCCTCTCGTTCGGGATTTTCTAAAGCAACTGAATGTGCTACCTCATGTTTCAGTTGGTACGATATCGGAGATATCGCTTACATTGTGTAGACGTACTACATTACTCATCAAGTGGCTCTTGTAGAGCTTTCAGGAACCTTAATTTGAATCACCGTTCATTGAAGTACAATTACCTCTTTTACGGAAGACTGACCGAAGAATATTGGTAAACGTCAGAAATTGAGGTCACACACAGGGAATAAAACCTACAGTCTATGAAATTTGCAAGACAATTGGCCCTGGTCACTTGCGTTGCACAGAATCTCCGTTCTCCCAAGGCATGAACGACATTGTGCAACGCAGTGGTCTTCAGATAGCCACGACAGATCCAACTTGGATCGATTAACCAAGGTCATACTTTCATAATGGCAAGGTCACACTAATGGTTGTTAACGTATTAATCTTTTCAGTGGGATTCAACTTACATCCGTATAGTCGTTTCAAGCACTGCTGCCAATATCTAAGTTTCCTCAACAGCTTTCATATACACTGGTACAAATGAAGTCGAAGAGGTTTCTAAGATCGCGTTTTCATTTCAGAACGTATGTTTGAATGTGCACTAGGTGCATATTTATAAACAAGCTATTAACCTTGGGGCTACTGTGCCCAAAGAAAGCGAGTTATTTTGACAGATGCGGTAGGTTTTCAACAGTCAAGCGATTCAAGTAAAACGACCGATCTGTAGCAGTTTTTAGTACAGCTTTCATTTGACTGAGAGAAAACCCAACTTCGAATTAATGACCTCAGCGTCCTAGTATTGAAGATGGTGTCATCGAAAAACTTCCCTAAATCAGACTGTCAGGATATGCAAACTTGAACAGGACCCTCAAAACAACCTTGACAGTTGTAGCCCCAAAAATCAATCAACAGAAGAACCTTAGTTCATTGCACCAAATCTAGACCCATTAAGGAGGGGCGCCCAGTCTTCATCGGCGTACAAAAGACTGTCATCCCTGACTCCGCATTGGTTGCTTGAATGTGCACGATTGTGATTGGTCCGAATTCTGATTGGTCATTTAGTTGTCCATGTCAGCTGGTCGTTGGTGGCAGTGCTCCCAGGGCTTATCCACATCGCCGAATAAAACAAACAGCACAAATGGCTGCTATGAATTCGATTAATACGAACCATATTATTAATGCGGCATGTCTTATGCGCCAATGTTTTGGCCAGCAACCAGCTTTTACTTCTATAATGGATATTTTACTATAAATAGTATATTCGCAAAAGTCTAAACAAAGGGATAAGTGACCTGCATGAGCAAGCTTAGCAAACGCACAAGAATCATTGTCCCAAATGAAGTAACGTATTAGGACGCTAGTGGTGACTACATCAGGATAGAGTAAATATCGGTGTGGCAGTGAAAATTGGGAAAGAAATAAAAAAATCATTAGAATAGAATAGAACCGAACGAAAGATATGAATGACGGGGCGTAGCACTCACAAATTTTATGAAAATTTATCAGATAAAGTTGGTGTTGAAGGGAGACTCAAATGATACTTACGTCAACGTCTCCTTTATGATGACTCGAATATCGTATTACCTTAAATATGAGAGGCCCATGTGCGGCACAATCAGGTGGAGAATTGTACAAACGAGATTCAGTTGAGTCAGCCATTAAAGCAAAATTAATTTGCAAATGAGTGTATTAAGAAAATGTTTACAGTGTTACGTCAAGTTGACTAAAGGGATAGTGGGAGGTCGCCCTATTTGATAATCCAAAAGGACACATGGTGATAGACTGCTGAAGAGTTTTCGACAAACCTATGAACAGTGTGTACAGGCTAGAAAGTCGACAGTGATAGCTCGAATGTCCTCCCAACTCAAACATGAGGCGGCCTTTGTGCATAAATTCCACTTGAAAAGAGTAAATGAGAGGAACAGCTGGGATTCAGTCGAGTCTCCCGGTAAAACCAACTCAATTCGCCATTTCCCTAAGATACAAAAACGCTGGTGGGCGTGTGCCAAAGGGACGTATGCTGATTAAGTAACCTCGAAAAGGAAGGTGGGGTTTCGATATCCCATTAATAAGTTGACGCAACGTTGCTGACTAGTTGTTTCTGTCTGTACAATGGAGATATGAAGGTAGGATTGCAACAGCCTTGCAATTGAAAATGGATTAAAAAGCTCTTGAGTGGTTTATACGATGGCCAATCTTCATCAGCTGCTTCAGTGTTGAACTCCTGAGGCTACCAGTTCCGAAGCTGCCCAGAGGTACATTGGGTAACACGATTCTCGAGACGTCACATGGTCCGGTCAGTGTGCCCGGATTCGCAGGTGTAAGCAAATTGACAAACAACGATGCTCTGGGGAGAGAAGAAAATCACTCTAACACTACGGATGTTGGATACGGGTGAATTCCCTGATAGAGGTATGAGAGGCGGTGTTGGAATTCCACATAGGTGCTGCTGTGAAGTACCAAATGACAAAGGTTGTTTTAGAAAGAAATGGAACTGTGTTGGATGTCTTCTGCAGGCTGCAAACAATGGATGAGGTTGAAATTTCCGCAACACAAGACCCACTAAACCATTTAGTACAAACGCCTTACGTTCTCATGAAAGTCCTTCCCTTATAGTTCCCTCTTCATTGGAGCAGCACGATAACACTGGACAATCTTAACCATAGTTATTTTCCGCTTCCATAGTATGTCACCAACACCAGAATTTGTAAACCCACTCTATAGCCGATGTGAGTAGTTCTCGAATAACAGTCGTTTCTTTATCCATTAGCATTCGAAGCCTGTTTATTCAATTTCTAGACCCAGTTGACTTGAATTCATACCGTAGTGTGAAATTTTTCAGGGCAGATAACACTACACCCAGCGGCGAAATCTACCACTCTAATACAACTAACTTCGATCAATTTTTGCCTCTAAATCCCAAAGCAATAAACTGATGACATCGCAAGAGAATGATCGAGCACTATGCATTTGTAGTCGAGAGTTTCAAGCTGTTTTAAAAGGAGTCAAACAACGTCGAATTAATTTTGAACTTTGTGATTTCCCGATCATTCTAGGAATAAGACAATAACGAGAACAACAAATTAAAAGAAATATTTTTTCATCTGTAGCAACCTTTCGCCGCTTAACTGCCATGTCAACAGAAGGAAGCATGAGAGCTGGGATACTCTCAGGCTGCCCAACCATAGACAGGGGAAGTCGAGACGTGGAAGTCGGGTTCAAACCACGGACCTTCCGGTTAGCAAAGTCGCACGATAACCATCTCGCCTCCTCAACAACGAAGTTGAGGAACAAATAATTCTATACATCCTGTTAGTCAGAAAACGTGAGCTACAGTGTACTGCAGTTTACATTTGCGGAAGGCTAAAATAACACTGTTCGTCAATAAAAGCATGGCGGTCCCAGACAAATCTTTAGGTCATTCTGAATATAGAGGAAGAGGTTAAAGGAACTTCAACCTCTGCGCTTGTCTGTTTGATGCTGAGCTTTGGAGCGGTTGTTTGGGTGCAACTCTGTTTCTTGCGTCCATCAGAAGCATGGAGATCTTGTGCTTTGGCTCTCGATACGGCCAGAGTTGAGTTAAGATCAGTTTCGTTCCCAAGTTATGGATTCGTCGCCCCCGGATGCATGTTGTCGGCCCTGAGCTGAAGAGCCTCAGACGATTGCACACAAGTTGAAATTTAGAATAACATCTAACTTCGAAGATGAGGTGAGTTCCATTTTATTCCTAGGATAACCTGGATTTATACCATGGAACGGTTACATCAGTATCTAGCCTTGTTCTTCACAAATCAAGTATTTCTGCATTTCAAGAATATTTTTAACCGAGTGACATGGTTCTTCATTTTGTTGGCCTCATACTGTTTAGTGTCTACTGAGTAAGTGATCAGAAGGGGAAATGAAGGAATACTTCGTCGAAAGCAACTTCGTTAGGTGAAAGTCATTGAAAAACGAATCATGGTTGACGAGCACTTTTGCAGATTGGAAGATAATCTGAATCGTTGAGCGTATGCGCAAACCTGATGTTCTTTGTTTCAAGAACATCATTCAGCTGTTAAAGCTGAAATTTTTTTTAATCGTGAAACCACGTCGAAATGGCAGAAGGGCTCGGGATTCTCAGAGTCCTTTAAAGGTCACGCGTACAGAAATGGACCTGTATGGAGTCGCACCCTGGTTTTGCGTTGTGAATTGATCAGTAAACTGGATTTTGCGGTTTGGCAGACAATGTGATGGTAAATTAGCATAACAACATATCACGTGTGTTGATAGGATGAACATTAGAGCCCTGGAGACACTAGCTGAAATCTATAAAGCGCAGGTTAGTTCCCCAGGTGGTCTTTACACAAGAGTTTCCAAAGATAGGGCGTTATTCTGTGTGACTTTTGCCTAAAATGATCCAACAACTATTTTTGCCGCAACGTAACAAGCATCGTGTCTCCTTAGAATTCAATTCAGATGTAATATGTCCGAGGTGTTGATTAATTTACTAATCCTATCATCAGCGGCACATCTATCAACGGGGACAAATAGTGTAAACTCACATGTTCTAATCAATTCAACTGAAACCTTAACAACTCAGTCGGAAGAATGTAGGGGAAAAAACTTGGCTAGCTCACCAACGGAGCGGCATTCATCTTCATTCTTTCATGATGCTGTTTGAGAATGGCGTTTTGCTGATTTTCAAGTGATTTGAGTTAGCCATAAATGATTTGAGTTTTCCATTCGCCTGAGTGAATCTCACCTGGTTACGTAGTACGATAGAAACTCGGTTTTATAACGGACTTTTGGATTTCAGTTCTCAATTGTACGTGTTAAAATTACTGTGGAACGGAGTAATCAACTGCACAAGCAGAGCTGGATGACTATTACAGTGACAAGGTAGAAGAACATGTGTGCTCTTTGATTCACCCGACGAGAGATGTTCTGTCCTCGTGTGTTCCCATGTCCAGCTTTAACATAGTGCAGATATACGAGCAAGTCGGCTTCTAAAACTAGCTACCATGTACGGCAAGCCACAACTGGTCACTGCGACTTCATGATTTACCGATGGGTACCTGTGCACATTGCAGGAGTGTCCATTCGCCGGATCGCATTTTCTTTAGCTATTAAAAGAATGCAATTCCCACATCTCTTCGCAGAAAACCCAAGTGCGAACTTGGACAATTAAAGCAGTTGTAATACTGCCACCGGACAACGCCACGTTGTGACCTTGAATAACCCACCATAAACAGCCCTACCCTATTCAACCAAACCTGATGCCGCGGCGGTTGCATGCCCAGAGCTTGTGTTGTCCTAATAAGAAGTATAACAACGACGTAGCAGATGGGCATTCTAGTGATTGCCACAGTGCAACTATGAATTGACGTTCACAACACTCGATTGCACAGTAATTCCGCTGTCTCAGTGCGAATCCACACGTAAGAGGGGAAGCAGCGGACCAGAGTCTCACTCTTATTGGAATTAATCAGTAGTGCTAATCCATGACCGTGCCGGATTGTGAACTCCGGGTGTCAGGCATAGGGGACGAGTGTGTTAGTGCCGCTCCTTCGGCGCACATTGGTCACATCTGAGCACGAACGATGTGAATGGTTTGAAAGACGATCAGGTAATTGTCCTGGTTGAGTCAGCCGATTGACCCATTCATCAGGACTTCCCAATCAGGAAACACCACAGACACATGGTTATTGATTAGTTTTAGTTGGTTGTAGGCACTGTAGCATAGGGTTTCAGTGAATTGCCTCACTGTCAAGACTAGTTGCGACTATCAGCTTAGGTGTAGCCAGTTCAAGACGATATTACGCACCATCGAGTGATGGGGCGAGATATCCAATTTGTTTAGACGCGAATTTANCGAGATAGTCCAATTGGTTAGAGCGCGAATTTACCTTCGGTTGGCAAGGCACCGAAAGGGTGCTGCAGCTGAACGACTTTTTAACCATCGAGTGAATATTATTGCAAAAGGAATGAACGAGTACTGTGCCATTGCTTTTTTTCATGTAGATGTGCACAGGTACATCGGTTTGGTGAATTAGCCAGGAAGAGACCCTTATAGAAGCAGTGATATATGGACAAACCATACCAGACGGATGTTAAACATACTGAACCGTACCGATGCATCTGACTCGGCTACATGAAGACTACATTATGGTGTTTAGTTGCTCGTCTGATTATATGAACATATGTGAACATCCCGTGGTCTCAAGTCGATGACGACGCTTGAGGCGAGCTTTTGTGATAGACAGGAAAGAAAACCACTGTTGGCGTGTTCTGAGTGACTCCTGTTCACTATCTACCCATTCCACTTCTAACTTGCTGGTGGTGACGCTTCTATTCACCAGTCCGTCCCATCCACTTGGACCCACGTTGTCCGTTCGTATGAACTCCATAACTGGCTGTTTGCGATTCGTCCCGACTGGGCAGACATCTTCGACCCATGTATTTTACGCACAAAAACAAACTCAAATTGTACACGCGTTCATGATAATCAGAAAGAGCCGAGGTTGAAAAGAGTGTTGTTTGACTGGTTGCCTGTTTAGTTCAACTTGTTAGCCAAGATTCCATTCTTCACCCATGGTCTATACTCCCAAGAGATGTAGCAGTTTTTTGGATGTGGAAACCCCCCATAGCAACTTAGATTTCCACATTCCTACTGAGCCCCTGAAGCTCAATCTGACAGATGAAAAACCGCTTCCGTTTTTGCATGCACTTAGTTCAAAACTAGCGTAACAGCGATTGAGTTGGTAGAAGGGATTTAACGAGCGTCACCGAAGCAACATTAGACTTACGGTAGGAACATGGGCTTACCACTGTAGAGTTCCGAAGGAGTCTGTACAACCACAACATCCCAATGGCATTCTAATCAGTTCAGGAGCCCTGAAGAAAAAACTTCATGAACATTCCCGTAATTCGGCAGATTTTCAATGACCACCCCTTCTATTCACTTTTAACCACAGAATAGCAAGTTTGTCGGATAGATGCAAAGCGAGAACTGAACGAAGATACCCGTTCGTTATTGCTCAGTGATTAAGGCGCGAACTGGAAGGTCAAAGATTCGAACTCAACCCCGACTGCACTTGTTCGTGGGAAGCCTGGAAGTATCTCATCCCCCGTGCTTACTTCGGTTGGCATGTCACTTAGGCACTGAAACGATTTCGAACATTTTTTCTAACACGGTTTCGAAGATGCCCGTTTATGTGGAATCCCACTACGTATCGGGGGCGTAGATAAATTCAAACCAAAGATAATTTGAGTAGATATAACCTGGATTCGGCTACTTAACGTGGCCGGAACTGCATAGTGAATGAGCTGCAGTGGTTTGGTGGAAGTGGAGAACATAACAGGCTACTCGACTGGCGAGATCCTTATAAAGTACGGCTTTGGGTAAGCGTTAAATGCTTTAAAATGGAGTTTCTTCATCCGGGGAATTTCACTGAATTCGATGATAGTACCTTCATCTTAGGGACCAACTGACGGTTAACAAAGCGCCTCTGTGGATATCTCCATCATCACATGCAGGAGCATACTGAACTCCGCAATATCCACAGTTGTTATGTACTGGTATCCGGTGATTCAACCGGTGTTAACTGGCAAGCCGGTCTCGGGTTCTGACTACCGATATCCCACTTATGAAGGGAAAGGGATCCCACGGACAATCTGACAAGACATTAGAGCACAGGGAAAGCGTCTCGACCGAAAGCACTTTTACCGGAACTTTGATGAGAAGCACATAATACAAGGTTTACCACGTTCTGAAAGCAATACGGTTCGTAACGTCAGTAGCGGCGTGCAGACAGACTGACTTGCTGGACCCTTTCGCGAAAGTTACTGAACCAAACGCGGTTCAAATAATCCATTTGGAACGAATGATTGTCACGTATTCAAACAAGGCAGTAAACAAGACGTGATTACACAAGAACCATTGCAACAATGAGCTGAAACGTGACTCAAGTAGACCGTCTAAGAGGGGGATATTTTTAGTTTTAAGATGCTGATATACTCACAAAGGAAATGGAGACGATATGGAACACCGAGGAAAAAAAGAAGAATAACAGGGATCGGCTGATAGGATGAAAAAATAAACAGCAGAAATGAAGGAATTAAACTCACAGCTCCAAACAACGAAACCATTATGCTATGTAAATAATGTGACAGCCGTAACAACAGAGAACAAAAACTCAATGACTAGATCAAACTGAAGAGTACAGAAAACTATGAAATACGTGGTGGACAAGAGAAAGAAAGAAATCAATCAAACAACTCGTCAACCGTGTTCACAGATCGGGCCAAGCGGTGTAGGAATTGACAAGCGATTCGACCATCACGGTAGGCCAATAGACCATCCAAATTGCAACAGCAAGAGAGGTCCTGACGAGAAGAGAGAGAGGTGAGAAGCCCGCCGGAGTAAAAAAATATCTGCAAAACGATAAAATATAAATTGATCAGAAGATAATATATCCCAAAACTAGTGATACATCAATACAAACGCATTCGCTGAGAGTAAGGCAGCTGTAGTAATGACCTGGTATTTAACTGGAGGCTGGATGTTTCGTTCATGATGTTCTTCAAATGAATGTGCTGCGCAAAGCTGTCTCATGTTCAGGACTTTGCAGCTCATTGCCTAAACGTGACACCTTTCACAAGGTTGTTATCAAAGAGTTTTAAGCAACCTCATGAGTAGCGTGTCGCGCCCAGGTCCTACATTTATTTAGTTTGCATCGCGTGCCATGATCTTAACTGCCACATTTCTTAATTCAAGGACGATCCAGAAAGACAGTCATGGGCTATGAATGACAGTTCGAACATCGGGTTAGGTGATGAGAAAACGTCCGATATTCGACAGGACTGGGTGCTTAGGATAGTCCTGACGTGGCTTTCGGAGGCTTCCATCCGAAGTGGTGGAACGTGGAAAGGTGCGTCAGTATGTTGCTCAAAGACATCAGTTTCACTGCCTAGTTAGGCTCTGACCGTCTTCGGATCAGTTCTGCGGCCTGAATGGTCACCCGAAAACGATTCTGGCCTTTCCGACACGATTTCACTTCCAGCCCAAGTAACAGCGGAATAATAATAATCGTCCAGCTGTAATACCCTTCCGTTGCCTAGCTCCCATGCTACCTGAAGGAAGTACGAGGGCTGAGATACTGCCAGGTTGCCCAAGCCTAGACAGGGGGGAGTCGAGAGGCAGAGGTCGGGTTCGAACCAAGGACCTTCCGGTCAGTAAATTCGCGCTCTAAGCACTTGAGCCATCTCGCCCAAGTAGACCAATTTACCTCCACAATCGAGTATTGTGGCACTGGGTTCGATGTCTCATAATCTTAGATGGTGTATATAATATGTATATGTATAAAAACGTTTTGAAAAAATTCGGTTCCAAAGGTGTTACTAGCGATCAGAGCCAGTACTCAGGGGAGTCCAGGCAGTATGCATTTCCCATGAAGAGAAGTCAAATTTTGCATTTCAAGTAGTCGGTCTTTAATGGAGGGTATTATGCTAGATAGAAATCTAGAATGACAATACGGAAGGAGGGGAAGGGGGCAGCTGAATTGACTTTATACAAGCAGCTTTACTACGTATTAGTTGTCTACTCTTTCTAGTTTGATTTTGTTTGCAAGGGTAAGGAAGCACAGAAACAATATATTTTTTAAACATTTGTATCACCTTCGTTTGAACAAACCTCCTGTGGCAACGAAATTACTTTAGTTCGTTCACACTACGGCGTGGAAGAACGTTGGATTAGAGTTTCATTCTCATCAGTGCATAACCTTGACTGTGAGTGGTACATTCAAACTCAATGTCTTTTGCCTTTAGCCGTCTTTCAGCGTTTCTGAGTGTGCACACTTGATGCCTTTTAGAAATATAAAACCTACTGTGGCAAAGCTTGCTGAGTGAGCTTACTTGTCATCCCATTGATTGACCACCACTTAATCATCCTCTGCAGTTCCGCACTCAAACTACATGACCCAACAACCCTTGAAATGGGGTCATTTAGCGAGGAATCATCCAGTCAACCGAAGTATACAGACGTACTTCTCTGCTAAACCCATGGCTAACAAGACAACAACCGTTCAACTGCAACATACCTTTGGTGCCTGGGTGCCACGCCACATGAAGGAAACACGAAGGGACTGCTAGGTAGTAGTAGGAGTAGTCGAGATGCCGGGAGCAGGTTTGATTCATCCAGCTTCCGGTCAGTAATTGGAACCTTGACTACTGAGCTAACTGGAGCTCAGTTTAACACACGGTGTTTCCACAAATGCATGGCGACGGGGGGAACCGGTTATCGAATATCACTAAATTTCTGATAAATTTACCGCAGAATGGTCACGTTTCACCACCATACAAAAGCAATGCTCTTACAGTTATGCAGTAGGCACTTTCCTCCGTAAGCAGCTAAACATACCATTGCACCCAAAGACGTCGAAATTTTGCGAACGCCAGTCTGGTCTACACAACTACAACACCCATGACAAGAGCAAAAGCCCTGTCTACCTCTTACAGCTAACCTGACGAAAGGTAGGCCAGTATTCCGATAGTATACGTTTCGAGGCAACCTTGATCAAGTTGTTTGAAAAACTCCGTGCTAACTCTGCTCTATCACATGGAACGATGTTGCCGGCAAACCCAAGGTCTGGAAATATCCCGGAACATTCGCAACTCAGATGTGTTCAGTGGCGTATGATCAGGTGGCCGTTGATCTGTTCGCCAAGCAGCTTGCAAACGATTCACCACAAGTGCGCGGTTAGTCAAACTCAAGGTCTCTCAGTTGAACTTCTGGAACTTTCTGGATTTGGTGTGCACATATCGCCGAATGCGGGGAACACAGACAAAACTTGTGGTGAATTTCTACGCAGAGCGGAGAGAAGTACTAACGCTTCCTTTCGTAGTGAAAAATGGTTCAGCTGTGACATCGCTTCAGTTCCTATCTACAACACCACCCAAAAGAAGCACGAAGGCCGGGATACTGCCTGACACCTAACTTCAACAGAGAGATTTGATTTGTGTAGTGTCAGAAAGTATAGCGTTAAGGTTGGCGCACTTCGTTCATCTTGTTCGCATCGCCGCACTGATATGCGCACCGTGGTTGCTAAAGTTTAAGTGACGAAACGGCAATATCCGGATCCCGTCGGAATTAAGGCTCTAGTGTATGAAACTACGGTAAATCATGCTACTCGCACCTAGCTGAGTAGCGCGGAGTTAACGCAAAAGGAGAGGGGAGACCGAGCACTGACAGCTGTAAGATCTGCATAACTTGGTGGTCGAATAATTCGCCAAACTCGGGTATTTTGTTGCAACATGCTCCAAAATATCTTACCCGCTTAACTACAAATTGTCATCTCCTGACACCAGTGCGATGTATCAAGCATTGCAACGAGGTTTGCAGGCCATACGCCGGTGAGGGTGGAATGGAATGGTGGCTCCCAGGGTCGGAAATAGTGAGGACACTGCACTAAATACTGAGCATTTTCAAAGGCTCAAGTTCAGCAATGAACGTTATCATCGTCCCATCCCTTCCAAAAACAAAGTAACTTGTAGCGCCTGATCAAAGTTGACAGGTAAACTCCCCACGGGACTAACCAATACTTACTAAGATTTAGGGAGCACGGTCTCGATTTGCAATCTTGATTGGCCAGTGAGCACATTTAGCAAACACCCGAAACAGTGAAATCGCTTCATTTGTTCGAAAGGACGATTGATAAGACGCAGCTACCGATACGTGAAAGGAACTACCTCTACTACCTTCAGTCTCCAATGTACTGCACAGCGTCTCAAGGAAAAATGAAATGAAGATTGTAAGAACGTAAAGTTACTGAAGCAGAGGTACATCGGGGTTAAGTAGGTGAATAGAAAGTCTGAGTAGACACCACGAGCTGTTTAATTTGAAGCAGGAAAGTTTTGATGGTTCTAGAAAGTGACAATAAGCTGAGTAGTGAATGTGAATTGTCCGACAGGATTTTCAGCTCAGGAACTAGCAGTCGCCCCGTCGTGATGTTCAGTAAGTGGCTTGAAAGATCATTCCTTGTGAATAAACGTTGTGTGCGGCCCAATAAAGTGTAATTAGAACAGAAGGAGCTCAAGAAAGCTCAACAGTTTGGGGCGGGAAGTTAATGGCTGGAGGACCCATGGTTCAAACCCAACCCCGGTATCCTGGTAGCTTGGGTGTATTAGTTGGAAATTGATCAGGTGGCTGTTGATCTGTTCGCCGAGCTTGGCAATTGATTTGCAAACGTTTCTTCACCATTTGAGGAGACATATTTAGTGCGCTGTTGGTTGGGTGTCTCCTCGAATGGTGACGAAACGTTTGCAAAGCAATCGCCACGCTCGTCGGACAGATCAACAGCCACCTGATCAATTTCCAACTAATACACCCAAGCTACCAATATTCCAACACATTACTAACCTGACAATGTCTTCATCCTGTTGCATCCTTCGGGTGGCATGGCACCTAGGCACCGGAAAACAATTACGACTGAACGATTATTAGTATTACTCCTGTCCGTGCATAATAATCATAATAAAAGATCCAAAAAGCTGCTGGTCAGAGTTGTTGAACATTTCACTAGATCAAGCCTTGTAGACGGCAGGATGCCACCTGAACTATGGTGAAAACGCACTTGAGGAGAGAACAGGTGCAAGAGAGAACAGGGAAACATCAATACAGCGACACTTGAGGCAGTAAAAAAACGGACGTTCCTATCAAAGAATAATGTTCGATGGTTGAGCTCTGTTGGAAAGCAAAGTGTAAGGAAGTCAGCGTTTAGCTGTTGCACCCTTTCGATGCCTAGCTGTCTGTCACCTAGCGAAGCACTAGGTGTGAGATATTACCCGATTAACCACAACAAGATAGGAGCAGTCCAGATCCAAGTGATGGGTTCGAATGATGGTCAATAAGTTTGAATCTTAAACATTGAGCTATCTAGAGTTCAGTTGGAAAGCGGGACAATAAGATTATGAAGCGAAAACCAGTAATACCAACAAAGAGGCAACAAATATCAGGGGAAAACGGATGGGTTTGAAAAAAACATCAGAGGTGCAGTCCCCTTGTAAGATAGGGAAATTTACCGTGTAGTCCGATGGCTTCACACTGTAGTGCACTTCAAACTCCCTGAGTGTCGAAGGATCAAGGTCACATACACCTGTCATAGACTGCTCACGCACGTAGGACAGAGCGGGTTTCAAACGAACGAGACCACCTCCTCGCGCATGAAGAATCGCATGCGGTGCACATGTGTCCCAAAAATAAGTATTCGGCTTCAAAAAAAGAAACCAATCGGTGTAAATTAATACGGACTAAAAGGGTGTTTATGAATGCGGTATGAAGCTTTAGACACGAAAATCAACAATATAATTTTCTCAAATGTGGGGGAACACTCAGTCACCAAGTGGTTCAGGATGACATCCTTAGGAAATAGTTTATTTAGGCCACTTTGATTAGAAAATCTCTGCGAAGAGGTCCACAGTGGTTCGGAATAAACTCACATTACTGCAAACACGAAGAGGGTAACAAGGTCAACGACAACGTGGTCAAAAGAGATCTGAATTGAACTGAAATTCAACGTCAAACGACGCGGCTTACTTTCGCAAAAACTAGTGGCGTCTCAGATCCAAAAGAACCATTTGACATATTATTTTCCACAGAAATCAAAGACTCGAAACCTAAGTGAACAAAACAGACAGTAGTCGTGATCCTCACAGCAGTCGAGATAATTCCTGGCTTCACCGACACTCGTCTATCATGAAATGGAACTCATAATGGCCTTTGCAAAGGAAGCAAATACCAAATGGGTACTGTCTTGGTGTGCACGTTGAACAAGTCTGCTAAGTGAGATAATGACCAAAACAAGCTGTACAGCTTTTTGTCTTCGAAGACCAGGCGAATTCAGAGGCTGCAGCTATGAGAAAGCGATAGACTCGTCTGAATGTAATGCAAGCCAAAATAGAGCTTATTGAGGAAAGCCACCGGGAGCTTCCTTGCTCCATCGAGAATTTCCTTTTGTGACTCTAACGAACAAAAAAAAAGTCAGATTACCATTTAGCATTGGTTGTTTCTGGAACTCCAGAGCTAGCCATACAAAGCGACGACAGACACAATCCGAGCATTTGAAAACGGAAAGTGTAAGGCGGTAGCGAAGGTTCCGACGCTACAAGAGGTCTACAGTTTGTCTACCAATATTGTGCTCTATGCTGGACTTCAGAAATTGATAGCGGATTATCTGGTTGACAACACCAGGAGAACGATGTTGCGGCAACTCCTCAAAGGCGATGTCTGTGAGCAATAGAAAATCAGACTGTATCAAGACTCATTCACCGGGCAGACAGAAATTAAAAAAACCCAGAGAGATAGAGGGGATACAAATTCTCCCTCGACACATTGGCCCACTCATGCCTTCCGCATCAAGATGAATACGGTATGGGTTCTGAAGCACAAATTAGCAAATGCAATTCTCGTCCTCAATATCCATGCGTTCACTTTATTTGTCAGACTACCGTCAGAGCTAACGCAACTTTCGAGATACGTAAAGCGTTATACAATATTAATAATCGTAATCGTTCAGCTGCACACCCTTCTGGCGCCTAGCTGCCATGCCACCCGGAGGAAGCACGAGGTCTGGGATACTGCCAGGTTTCTCAAGCTTAGACAGGGGAAGTCGAGATGCAGAGATCGGGTTCGAATCATGGACCTTCCGGTCAGTAAATTTGCGTTCTAACCTCCAAGCAATTTCACACAATTACAATTGCTATGGTTATTGTTATTACAATTCTAGCGATCCTTTCGTAATAAACAATGATTTGGAAAAATTGTGGTAGGATATCAGGAACAAGAAATTTCGCCTATATTGCGACGGATAAGCGTGAAGAGGTCATCGGACAAGTAAGTCCTTGGTTAGTGCCTTCAGACTGACTAATTCCGACAGGATCATGTGTCTACGGAGCGGCTTGAAAATCTGCAGTGAAAAGTGGCTCTAAACTACTGTTGACTTGCTCAGACAATCGTCTGATTACAGATGATTAGTCAGGATTCTTCTGGGTAGGAATCGAGCCGTGCAGAGGACCAAACAACTATGCGTTTGGATTCTGATCACATGTTTCGAAGAAGATATGGTCGAAAAACTTAGCCAGATGACTCTTTTGGTGTTTATTGAGACTTCTTAGGTGAACGAAGAAGGACCATTAGAAGGGACTTCAGAAGGAACCATGAGGGTCGAGATAATTCCAGGTTGCCGAAGTCTAGACAGGAGCAGTCGAGATTCAGATGTTGGGTCCGAACCATGGATCTCCGGTTAGTAAACTTGCGCTTTAAACATGAGTAATCTCGAGCTTATCAGAGCGATCGGACAATTAAGGTTTTGGTAAATAGTTTTAAGCTGTTCGGCAGAGGACTGCGTGGACACCTGCCGGTTTGCACAGCTCTAGAACCTCAAAATATGATACGCTTACTCCAGTCTGTTTTAACTTAATCCTCCACTAGCTTACCCACTCTAGAGGGATTGTGATTTCATTCGCAATATCCCTAGACGGTTAAAAATCAACACTGTTCAGCAAAATTGAAAAGAAAACTTTCACATACAGCGTCTCCTGACGGCGTAACTTCCGCACAATTCAAGGGAAGCACTACCAAGTTGCTCTAGGCGTAGAGGGGAATAGAAGAAGGGCCAACCAAGAATCTTTCGTCACCGGGAGGATAACGCCGATAGAGTCGCCAGCTCGCGCGCGCGCGTAGAACAGCCTCAGAGGACGTCGCGTGACCGTGTCTGTTATATAATTACCACTTATCAGAGCTCCAAACTAATGGACCGCTTGTAAGGCAACGTGATCGATCAGCTGCAATCCAGATAGTGGAAGATCCACGCGTTTCCACAGATTGATAGCCTAATACATACACCAAATCTGACCACGACATCAATTTTTTTTTAGAATGATCCTCACATGGAACTAAGAGCACATCCTGTCAGTAATTTGTCATCTCATAACCGAAATCACGAGAGGATGAAACATTGAAAACGTGCATTGGTCATCTGGCTTTCTATGACTTTGTGAGCGTCTCTCATTTGCTGTCCAGGTGACATCCGACGAGTCAAACAATCACTCGATTTTCGATAAGAGGGAAAAAGGGGCGGGGCAGGAATGAGTTCACAAGAGGATTACACGGATTGGATTTCTGCAAAAGAGGCAAGAGAAAACTCACTTTCAATAGTAGATAGATGTCGAGCTGACACAAGATTAGGCACAAAAGTTTGAAACCGGCTCCAGCACAGGAGACAAAAACTAGTTCGGGGGGAAGGTCATCATCCACAGGAGTATAATCTAAGACAAAAACAAAAGTGAAATAAATAACAAACACCGAAGTCACATAATGTGGTTCGTATTGGCAAAATATGAAAGAATCGCTGTAGGTGGAAATGTTGCACAACTCGGTCCGAAGGACAGGAGTAACACACTTTTCGGTGCCACCTGAAGGAGGCATAAATGCTGAGAAACTGTCAGATTGCCCAAGCCTATACAGGAGCAGTGGTGGTTGGATTCGAACCATGGACCTTCTGGTCAGTGAGCACGTGTCCTAAGCACTGAGCTATCTCGAGTTACATTACCGCGGCTCTGAGTAGGTCTCCTGCTGTTGTGGTGCGATTATTTTGCTCCGTTCACACAGCGGAGCGAAGGCACTGGGCTCGGATGTTGCTCTTACTGAATTGCACCAGCGGTACATCATATACTTGGCTGGACATTTGGTGTGCGAGGAGCGCGTGTCACCGATGTTCCAAGTACGCATGTGGAACGCCAAACAAGTGTATGAGCAAGTAAGCATGTACACACTTGACCGATTCGGTTGATATTTGTGATAGGAATGAAAAATAGGACAGCAGTTGCCAAGTAGCGGTAAATCAGGCCTTGAAAAAGTTACTCCAATGTTGGAGTCGTATTCGATAAGGTGGGCGATTTGGTTTTATCATCGACCGAGGTGACATGAGTGCGCATCGGCTGTGTCACTTGTGTGGGCACTGAAAGGTGCTGTGCTCCTTACTGACGCGGAGTGGGGTGACCTCTGATTGTCTGGATGGTTGATCTCGACGAGCCTCGACGCAGCGCCAACTCACCACGCACTGATGATGAGATTAAAACTTTTGCAATCAAACTGCCCAACTCAGCGAACAAAGCATCATTACAACTTGAATATTGGTATATTCTCAACAAGTGCAAATGTAGGCGTTCCGTTTACTTACGTTAGTCCCTAAAGCAAAACATATATCTGTAGACCCAGAATGAGATAACAAAAATGGAGAAAACACTCGGACGAGTGCGAAATCATAAGCGAATAAAGTTTTTTTGAGTAGAATGAATGCGATACAAACTGGGATAACCTATTGATGATCACGTATTCGCAAATATTAGCAAGAGACAATCAGCTGCTCTAAACTGAACTGGTCTGGTTGCGCAAGGCAATTCAACTTTTGCAGCCGTTTGTATCGAGTTGAGCGACCTGCGTTGATTAGATGCCGATCGAAACAGTAAATGCAATGTAAGAAATCACAAGCGGTAGACAAGAACTGAAAGGAAGAGAAGGCATTCCAATTGTCCGCTTTAGCTGACCTTTGAGGATGCGCTCCAAACTGTCGAGGTCCGATGAGCTACATGCAACCCGCAGCCTACCAACGTTATTCATGGGGTCGGATAACGAAAAAAGCTCCTGAAAAGACCAATCAGGAAAGCATTTGGTGATTGACGGGGCGGAGGATGGAAGGCAGTTGCTTGATAAATACGAACCTCCTAAGGTCGAACCCCAAAAGAGTCGTCCAGACGGTTGACTTTGGGCGGTTGTGGGGGGGGGGAGAGGAGAAACAAGTTAACGTAAGAATGAAAAGATAAAGACGTACGAATTTTCTACATGGGGTTCGCCATGAAAACGCTTGAAAGACAAGCGCCATCACATAGAAGAAACCTGTTAAAAACGGTCACATGTGAGCTAGAATAAAACACATCAATCTTGTTTTGATGTACAAAAGGTTTCGGCTTCAGCTGTGAGTGAGTTCGCGTGCTGTTAACTAGGCCTATTCAAGCAACACAATATACCTTTGAATGACACCATTATAACGAAGGTGGCGAGTACAGCTTGCTCTCAGTGACTGGCGCTCGGCCTAATACATTACAAACTCCATATAAAACTAGCCAGGGATCGTTTGCGCTATCGTGAACATCACCGAACCATCCTAATCCCACTGAATGTACCCAACGAGTCATGTATCCAATCCCATTGATGTCTTGGTATCCGAACCACTCAAAAGTTTCATGGAAACGTCGTTAACCTTGCTACCCACCGCATTTGATATGAGAATAGTGAACTATTTCATTTTTTTGCAGCTAAAACAACAAATGTGTCGATCCGAAAGAGCGGAAGACATTTCGAGGAATTCGCGGAGGAATCGAACATAGGCCCCAGAGGCTCATACATTGGTATAGCTTCTCTATACGCATACAAGGTTATAACTGGAAACTTGTACCGTCTGTTGTGACAAAAAGCAATCACAATAACTTGTCAAGATTATTGAAAGGGAGAACGTCCCCTGAGTGCAGAGTTATTTACTTACCAACGCCAACTAAGCGGCTACATGTTACTGGACTTCTTGAACTACTGGACTTTCCTTGATGTTAGTTAAAAAATTAAGAAAGGGACAAATACTGCAGAGCAGTTCCATAAGTTCCGTACTAACCTTCCATCAGATGCGGGGACGGGGGTTTAGTACTTGACCGGATGCTACTCGCAGGCTTTATCAGTAGTACAGACCATTACACTAATGGTCAAAAGCAGTCCCAAACTGCAAAAACGATGACAAACATTTTTAGTCGGATATTCAGAGAACCAGGTTTCTTGCATGTCGCGTGCGTGGAAAAAGTTTAGAACTGATTGAAAAGTCATCGTTTCAGAAGGGCTTGGTGAACAATCGGTAGTTTTTAATTGGACAACGTTTCGCTTTTAACACAAAAGCTTCATCAGGCCAAGTGGGCAGGTCACCAAGTTAGTCAGTTAGGTTTTAAGGCAGACGGAGAACCAATCAGTAAGACGTCTCCAGATAAGCGCACTAGATCAGTGTTGACGGCCACGGAACTACACACCAGAATCGGAGATCATAAGAAGAGAATAAAAAGGTGACCGAGAAACACAGATGAATGTCGAGTGTTACTGAGAGACCCGGTAATGGCGGAACATGCATAGGACACAGGACACAAAACAGATTTAGAAAATATTGGGGTTTTGAGGCGAGGACTAGGGTCAACGCCACAGACACTGATGGCTGAGGCGGTAGAAATCGCCAAGCATCCCATCTTTAATAGAAGGTGTGGAACTGGCAAGCGTATGGAGAACGGTTTTGGATCAGTTGTGCTGACGCGTGTTGGTGCGCAGTTATCGGCGGAAGGTGTACTCATTGCATTTAACCTCACTCACCTTCCCTCCCCACAACTAGGTTTTCATAACACTCACAAGCCCACAAAGACCAACGAAATCTACCGGTGGCACCAACGGCGAATCATCAATTGAAGCACCTTAAAGTGGAAGATTTAAGAACCAAACAAGATCGGAACTAAATTGAATCTCCTCCAACCCATTGACACAAAATTTAGGCGACCACAATAACCGACGAGAACCAGAAGTTGACATTCAACACGGATTCAGTGCGATAATCCTAGGAATTCATACTGATTGGTTCTCTGTCTGTCTTAAAACCTGACTAACTTGGTGACCTGTTCAATTCGCTTGATGAAGCTTTTGTGTCAAAAGCGAAACGCTGCCCAATTAAAAACTACCGATTGTTTGCCAAGCCCTTCTGGAACGATCGTCAGCTAGTACTGTAACGGCACAAGCCTCACCCATGAAAAACAGGGTGCGGTGCGCTTAATAGGTTTCCTAACATATCTTTTCTGATCCACTACAGTATAAAATCAACGAGACTGTAGATAAATACATGCATTTCTCACCTGTTCCCGAGGTTCGCCGCGACACGAGGAAAAAACGGTTGATTGATAACGCCAAATACGGGGAGTCTGCTTGTGCGGTTGAACAGTCCAATCAGGACCGTGACATTACCCAAGGTCCCAGAGATGCGGTAACGAAAGACGTGCGGTGAGATTATGTCTAAACTTGGTGCACGAGTTTCTTCGGATGAAACGTCACATGCATTCCCTTTAACGTATTCCGCGGTTCCATCTGAGCAAAAAAGGACCAGATGATATACTTATAAGGACGAGGAAAAACGAAAACCAACCAGTTAAGTGGGTTTATTAATCGACGAGACTGTCCGGCGACGTTAAGCCGACGGAGAACAAAAAACGTCCACAAAGCAGTGATATCACCTGAAGGAGAACCGAGGTCAGGCTCTCGAATGCACCTCACCACAACAGCCTCAAAAAAGAATGGGGCGAGTCGTTATTCAACTATCCCACAAGAAAAAGTAACCAAAGATCAAGATAAAAGAAGTACAACGGTGACCTACCGATTGGGTCGACCCACACAGCGAACTGCGTTAAATCTAGCCGCGCTGAGACGTCCAACTGGCTGATCGATACCAAATGCTCACGTACCGCCGAACGAAGTCGAAAGTGACTTAGGGGACAGAGAATCAGTTCAGCTAGGGCACCAGCCAGAGACGGCTGATCCACGAGCACCTGAGCTGAAAATAGTGATAAATCTTGTTAAAAAAAAACTGACAAAGTTGAATGGCCCACAATCAAAACTACTAAAGTGCGGGGTAAGTATAGACAAATTTGATTGATTTAACCAAGTGGTGGCTCGCTCAGAAAAACTGATTACGCCTGAATATTCAGTCATTTATCCAAATAACTAACTTATTAATGCTCGAGAAGACAAAATAGGAGGGCAAGCACAAGAGTGAAGAGAGCTCATTAAATAGCAGACAACAAGGTTGACGGAAACTCGGGGACTGCGCCTACCTGATGAGCCCCAAGAAGGGCAAAACCGGTCGTGGGCTGTCGAAGAGTTTTCAGCAACCTTGTGAGTAGTTTCCTCCATGAAAACAGTGAAATAGTTGGTGGTTGGTAAGGTTGCTGTTGATCTGTTGTCGAGCTTGGCAATCAGCTTTCCAGTCGAGGGGACATCATCAGAGCGCAGCTCCTTAACTGCCTGCGTTTTTATAGTTTTAAAAGAGCATCTGGTGCCCCGTCGTGTGACTGGCTAATTAGTGAATGCCCGCTCACAACTTGCTTTGCATTGTGGTCTGTATTCCTCAGATTTCACTGGTCTGTTGAATGGCTACTTTTGGGGAGGAGATAAGGGGGTGCCCACTCAACTTCGCACCGACGGTATCTCCACATTTGGGGACAAAGAGTTTGCAAGCTAATTGTTAAGATCGGCAGACGGATCAGCAGCTAACTGATCAATAAGGAGTAAACGCAGCCAAGCGGTCAATATTTCGATACACTGACAGTGAAATAGTTGATTAACGCCACACACGCTGTACGTCCTAAGGGCAGAGATTAGGGATAGCAGAATGCATCAACTCAATGTAGCCAAGAAGAACACAGAGTTGTAAGAAGGAGCAACGGTGAAGACTACAGTCAGGAACTCCATCCTAGCCTACTAACTAGCGCCAATCTTGGTACCACCTTCAAACAGGCAAAGTTTAGAGTGCCGGTGTAAGACTGGGTAGGATCTTGCAGATGAGTCAGCAGAGGTAGCATACAAATTCGTCTATCTGGGTAGCTGTGTCAGTCCCGGTGGTCTAGCTAAGTATGATATTTCCATTAGGGTCTGGGAGGCTAAGGCGACCCTGCATCACTCGTGGCACAGATGTAACGCCGGCTTATCTGTCAAGGATCAAGTATACGGTGCCGCAATCAGCTCCATATTGTTATATGAACCAGAAACTTTGTAGCCGCGAGCTGAGGACGCTATTGTCTTCAGGGTATTGGCCGAGTCTGGCTGGAACATCGGGGCAATAATGCCGAAGTATACAGTATGGTTTGCGGCTGGAAATAACTCGTCCACCCGAGATGAGCTGATAACATTCTTTAAGCTGGTTACCTTTGTCAAGTGCTTTAAATGCGACTTGAATGACTTTCTCGGATAGTCCTTACCGCACAACTACGCGTGGGATGAAAACCGTCCAGAGGATTTCAACTAAAAACTTAGAAGGGAAGGATGAAAGTCACTTTCAGAAACCCCAGCCGTGCCGGTCACCATCCTCCTCCTGGACAGGGACCCATCAGTCATTAAAAACATCGGTAGATATGACAAAAGGCGTGCTCAACGACTGGAATGCATCCAAGCCGCCAACGCACCGCCTCCTCCTGACAATCCACCGCCACTACTGCAGTCATAAGTGAACGATAACATCGACTGTCTCTAACGTGCAGCTACCTACCCCTAACTTCCCAGACCACCTGCGAACGAAACTGTGGCAGCTACGACCACTTCAGAAGATACACCCGGTTTACAGTTGGTGATCATAATCCACACTGAACGACAAATATCTATGGACAGCGATGAAACCATGCTCACCAAACCAGATTTGATTCGACAAAAGTCAACCAACAAGTGACGTATCGTGTATGTTACTGCATCTTTAACAGATGAAGTGGAACAGACGGTACAAAGTAAACGAATATAGTTGCTTGTTGGCGAACTTCGCCAACGGGACACACCATTTCCAAGTGGTTCAGGAGCTTGAGCACATCGTGATCGGGTAAAGGGGGACGAGATGGCTCAAGTGGTTTGAGTGCGAATTTACTGACCGGAAGGTTCGTGGTTCGAACCCGACGCCTTCCGCTCGACTTCCCCTGTCTAGGTTTGAGCAACCTGGGAGTATCCCAGCCGTCTTGCAACCTTCGGGTGGCATGGCAGCTAGTTACCGAAAGGGTGTTACAGCTGAACAATTATTATTATTTTATTATTCGGGTCAGGCTCCAATGAGAGTCAGTCTGATAGAGCTCAAATAGACCCATCACAACCAAAATGGAATGGTGGGCTACCGGTTGGTTTTCTTAATAATTGGACGATAGATTGCAAGTGCATTTAGCCAGGGAGGTTCGTGTCGACTTGTAGTGGATAAGCTGTTATTCACATGGCAGATTTTTCTCACTCCTATGTTAAGATTCTTTTTGGAAATTTCTTCTTACCTCGGTTGCACAACTAATTGCTGTGAACGGAGAAAAAGCAATCGCCCGTTCCAAAAATGTGTAGTTGTTCAGAGGGACCAAAAATGAGACTGAACACCCATACAATCCACTAGCAAATCGACAATTAGAATAGTTGACTGGTGTGGGCTGAAAACAGTGCAAACACGAAACAAATAAAAAGACGTACACAAAATACTCTGAAGCTCATCTAATGTCTGTGGAATAGTGAGTTGAATGTTCTCGCCAGATTGCGCGGCACGGAAAACGCTGTTCTCTTCCCCGTAAACCGAATCTCCGAAACCAGGAAACTGAATAGAGACAAATGAGAAAACTAAGCCAACACTGGAGGATGCGACAATAGATTTGATTGTAGGGTGCATATCCAAACTGTATGTGGCCTGCGCGAAAAGGTCGGCGTAGCAGCACATACTTCATCTTAAAGAACCCTTTACTTCTTTTAATGATAAAAAAATGTGTTTGCAACTTTTAAGGCAGGGCTGGCGGCCAATTTGAAGGCCCCTAGGCTGTTGAAACGGGAGATCGCGACCTCTGGGCAACGCATGAATCAAGGCACGGTAAGGACGAGATGTCATCCTTCCTTGTTCTTCACGAAAAAATGAACATCAATAGTTGCACAGATTTAGAAATCGATTGTGACGATTCCGCCTAGTACAGTCAGATATCTACTGCCCCCAAAGAAAGTATGACAGACCCTTCGGTGCAAATAAAACTGCTGTGGATTATTCAGACCTTTCCTATGTCCTATCAAAACAAATTAAGCCATCTGAGCCGACTGCAGTGATTTTTCTCCTCAGTGTATGCCATTTCCTTCCACTCAAGATTTCAAGTATTCATTCCTTGCAGTTGTATTTATGCACTGTGTGCACGGTGCTTAGTCTAAAGGCTATTCTTACGTGCGTGAGATTCAGGTCTGGTTAGCCGCGTTTCTGACACTCAACATCGAAGCTTTTGAAAGCAGCTTCTAGCAACTTCTCCGCTGATAATTTCGCATCTAACCCTTGATTCCATAGGAAGCATACCCAAAAGCATTGACGAGAATAATTTTAAACAATGATTTCACCTGTCCTTTTCCATCTGAACGCATACGATGGTCATTCTGGAAGTAGGCCGAGAACTTGCACTACTCTGCCTGCAACCATTGTGTAGACGCTACTGAAGAAAAAACCCTGTTGGCTTCACAAGTAAGAACACGGCACTTGTGACCCTGGCGCAGTACTGTAGATCATGATTCGTAATACTCAATAAATAGACGTGCAACTCGCCCCTCCCCCCGACAGACACACACGCGTACACAGGACAGGAAGTCAACCGAGCTCCACAAGTCTCCACGGACAACTACGGAACACGTGTAGCAGCTACACTGCAGAGAAAACACGTTCGACGTCCGGAACTTCACTCGGGAACTCTCAACAGCAGTTGTCCTCAAACGATAAGTCACTTTTTGGCTTATTCCACTTTTTGCACTGTATCTGTTTTTATCAAGTGCACCTAAGTGTCAGAATCATCATCATTCTGGTAAAACAGACAATTGATAGTGCTTGTCACCTTCTGACAATCACGTTAATTACGTTACAACCAGAGCACTAACAGACTCAGTGGTGTTTCTTGTCCTCCAGAGAAACTTTTCGGGAAACTCTGTAGGGATGCGAATAAAGCGTTGTGAATTCGGCCATTACCGGAACGAAGCACATCTTAAGTTGAAAGCGGGCGGAAAAGTCCAGAAAATCGATGGCCTTGGTAGCTCCGTAAGCTGTGTTGTGCCTAGCTGCCATGCCACCCGAGGGAAGCACAAAGGCCGAGATACTGCCAATAAGCCCAAGCCTAGAGAGAAGCAGCCGAGATTCCGAGGTTGGGCTCGAACCACGCACCATCAGAAGTTAGGCCTTAATCACTGAGTTACTCGAGCTAATCACTCACCACGAGAAGTTGGCAATCCGACCTGTAAACTTGACCCTATTCCACCCATCGTACAGAGCGAAATAACCCGAGTTCCGTTTACTCTCTTGGTGAAAACTCACGTCCTCGACTGAGGTCCTGTTGCAATAGGGAAAGGAGTCGCACGGACCTATTCGAAACAAGCCTAAGATAGCTCATTGGTTGACGCGCGAATTTTCTGACCGGAAAGTCTATGGTTTGAACACAATCTCAGAATCTCGACTGCTCCTGTCTAGACTTGAGCAACCTGGCAGTAGCTCAGGGTTTGTTTTTGCTTCAATGGGAAAAGGAAATCAGCTGGGTACCGAACGAGTGTTACAGCTAAACGATGATTTTTTTAAAATCATCATTCACTGTATAAAGTGATCTGTTCTGAATCCTACTTGGCCAGTTCCTCAGAGGACAAGTGACTATCCAGAGCTCTCATCATTTGCTCATCATTTACTTTATGTGACAGGGTGAGTTTTTTGACGGTTCTTACATAGGAGATTTGTTTATCCCCGAAGATATCAAGTCACACTTGGATAGAGTAACAGAAAAACCAGAAATGCAGTTGGTGCGAGCGACTGAAGGTATAATGCAGTGGTGTGAAGAGATAACATAAAAGGTAAAATGGAGTACTAAGCGGGAAAATGCATTCATTTAGATCTGTAAATGTACCGGTATTTTAGGAAGTTCCTGAAGAAGGAAAACTGGAGTTAATTGATATTTATTGCAATAACGGACAGTGTGCCTAGAGTAGGAACTGGGCTGCTCGCAATTTACAGCTCCATGTGGATGGCAGAAGAGCTCTAGAGAGGGAGGTATTTTTGGCACGAAAACCTGAGAGCATGAAATCTTACTTCGTGAGTCACTGGCGTAGAAGCACTTCACAGTGATACTTGGACTGGCACCTTGCTTAGTTGGTGGACTGAAGGCTCGTACTATCACATGAAATAAAACCCGCATACATGCGTTTGGTCCCGACCTCGGCTTGACTCAAACCTGAGGGTAAGCAGTACATCCAAACGATACCAGTGCAAGTGCTTTCGGCAGGTGTTTCTAAATATCGTAACTGTGAGATTGAATTTTCTGCTGGTTCGAAAGGATATTGTCCTTGACTCGATGCAGTTACTAGGTTGTTGGAGTGCACCACCGAGTAGCTGAAATTCTGGATGACGCGAAAAGCATCCGGCACCCGATTGTCTCTAATCTATACCTTGTCTTCAGGATACGTATTATCTCATCATCTAACAACCAGACAAGGGATAAGAGACGCGCGTGCAGTCAACAGCATTAGCAAATGAGGAGAAAATACAGCAGGACGTCAACTAACCTCTTTCCCAATGTCATGTCGGATCGACTGTTGAATCAACACATCAGCCAGCGTCATCACATCCGCAGCAAAATTCGTACCGGATTCTTTGTGGGTTTTATGTTGTATCAGAGTAGGGAACAATGCGTACTGGGTGCGGATAAGCCTGGCAATATCAGCGGCCTTCTCACTGCATAACACAAGCGTCTCTAGCAAAATTGTGACGGGAGTCAAATTATCGCATATCATTATGGGACGGCATCAACACCGGCTGAAAATAAAATAAAATTGGTTACTCAGTAATTGAGTAATCCAAATGTAATCCAAATGAGACTGAATAGTCGTGGCATTCAGTTGCAAATGTGGGTCAACTGAGACCACTTTTAACAGGGCTAGCTCAGGTGACTTCACTGAAGTCAACTAAGTGAGTCAGAAAGCCACCGTGGTAGCTTGTTCGCGGTCGATGCTTACAGCATAGATGTGGAGAGCTATTTCTTCACTCCACACCCAGCATCTGTTGCCAGCCACCACAAATTTTCAGTACGAAAAAAATTGTTCAGCTGTAACACCCTTCCGGTGCCTAGCTGCCATGCCACCCAAAGGAAGCACGAGGGCTGTGTTATATACCAACGTTGTGTTAAACTGTTTACTCGCTATTCGTTAAACTAATTGTGTTTTTTAATGTTTTAGCTGGTGTACAGAAATTGTTAGAAATTAAAGCCAATCATTCAGCAATCCTCATTCTCTATTTCTGGCACAATCATTCGAGTGCGCAACAACTTAATCGTCTAACAAGATACAGTGGAACGATTGTTTCGTCCAGATCGGTTTGACGCCGACCCCCAATCCTCTTCTGCTTCAGAACAATAGATCCATTGCAACGAAGCGTTTACGAATTTTTTCTTGTGCACCGAACTCCCAGACGTTGACAAAAGAAAACAAGGTAAATTTTCCTTCTCTGTCCGTCTGTCAAAATGTTCGTGAAGGTACTGCTTGCGAAGGCGCCATTCAGACACTTGGAGCGATATACATTGAAACCCAAAAACTACCAAACAAAAACCAGGTCAATTGGTCGACGCATTCCAGCAAAAATTACGTTACCTTGCCAACGACTACAATTTTCGTGCGGTTTCTGCCGACGAACGTAGGGAAGAGGCTATCTGAGACGCTTTTATCACAGAATTGCAGTCTACTTCCGTTCGCCAACGACTACTGGAAAAGAACACTCTTGAGCTTCAACAAGCGTTTGACGAGGCACGTCTGGTTGAACATGTTCAACAGCAGTCACTCATACGGCTCGTCTTCTCATATTCCTTGCGGTACCGCATTTATCAAAACGGATAAACCTTTGACTCCTCTTAGTGATGCATTTATCTGACTGACCCTGATGACGCGATTGCAAGCACATGCTTAGCTTACTTCTTCTGTGGCAACGGCAAGCACATTCATTCACAATGCCCGGCTCGTGAACTTTTCCGTCATTCCTGCGGCAAAAAAGGTCATTCCCAAAAACGTTTCTCGATACAAGTCGTAGCACATCATCGGTGAACCCATTTTCAACATCTCTTCAGCCATTGGACTTTCTAGATCAATCGCTGATGTTATAGTAAATAATATTCCACTTATCGATACTGCTAGCTGCAAAAGTTACATTTCTTCTGACATCGCAATGGAGCATAGTTGGACAATAACATCATCTAAGAGCGCTATCTCGATGCCTTCAACGAATTTATCTTGTGTTACTAGCGGTCAACTTTATGCTACCGTGCTGTACAAAAGCACGCACGAAGGCGTCAATTTGTGTTCAGATATCATTCTTGGCCTGGATTTTCTCAGCCGACACCAAACAGTGGTCATTCCATTCACGGATAAACGGCCCCACTCACCGTATGCACACTGAAAGCAGGGAAAGTCGATGCTCCCTCTTTGTTTGGCATTCTCGCTCCTGGGTGCCCTCCAATTGCTATAAAATCTCGCCGTTTCTCTCGCGCGGATGCAGTATTTATCGAGGCGGAGATCTAGAATCTACTAGCAGACAAAATTATTGAACCGTCTAACTCCCCTTGGTGGACCCATTTTCGCGTTACTACGAATGAAAGGCATAAGCGCATGGTCATCGATTACAGTCAAAAGTACCTTGATGCGCACCTTCTGTCGAAGGTGGACGAACTTGTAGAAAAGGTTTCCCTTACACGGTGTTTAGTACACTAGACCTTCAAAGTGCGTACCACCAGATCCCCATTGTCGACACAGGCAAGCCATATATTGCATTCGAGGTATGTGGTAAACTGTTTCAGTTTCGCTGCATCCCATTCGGAGTTACCAATGGCCTGCCTCCAATGCACCATAGACAAAAGCACACGCGAAGAAGGTCTCCTCGACACATTCGCACACGTTGACAATGTTACCGTGTGTGGTCGCGATGTCTAGAAACACGCTCGAAATTTGAAGAAATTCTCGGAGGCCTCAAAACACCACGGTATTACATTTAACCACAAAAGAACATCATAGATACTGCGAAAGTACTATTAATAGGATACGAAATATTTCACGGTACGATGAAACCAGACCCTGAACGTTTTCAACCCCAAAGGGAGTTGTCTCATCCATGTGACACCTGTTCATAACGAATCTTGGTCGGAATGCTGGCAAAAATACGCACACTAGATCCCATGTTTTTCGGATATAATTCATCAAATCGTCCGCAATCAGATCTTCCCCATTCCAGATAACGTACAAGCTGCATTGAATAATCTAAAACACGCTTTGGAAAAGGCCCCCGTGTTCACCATAGACCACATTCATCCACTCGTTGTGGAAACTGATGCTTCCGGCATAGCCATGGCAGCCACTCTCAATCAAGACGGGCGCCCGGTAGCTTTCTTTTCACACACTCTGTTACACAGTGAGCGTCATCATTCAGCAATTGAAAAAGAGGCGTAGGTGACTGTTGAAGCCCTGAGAAAATGGGGACACTACATTGACTGGCAATCAATTTACACTTGTTACGGATCAATGATCCGTCGTCTTTATGTACGACAAACAGCACAACGATAAGGTGAAAAATGACAAAATGAGAGATGTTGGCTTGAACTATCCTGTTTTCATTACGATATCCAGTGCCATCCAGGTAATCAAAATAAAGCCGCTGAAGCACTCTCGCGGACTGATAAAATATATGCGATGTTACACGTGGATCTCAAACACATTCATAACACGTTATGTCACCCCGGCATCACGCGGATGCTTCATTCCGTTTGTTCGAAAATTAGCCGTTTTCAATCGAGGATGTTAAGGCAATTACAAATCAATGTAGTGTTTGTTCAGAATTGAAGCCCGGTTTCCTCAAAAACCCTTTCGGAAATCTCATTAACGCTACACAACCATTGGAACGCGTGGGCATCAATTTTAAAGGCTCATTTCCATCGACTTCCCACAACAAATACCTTTTAACAATACTCGACGAGTACTCCCGTTTCCCATTCGCTTTTGCGCGTACGGATGTGTTCATATCAACCATGATCAAGTGTTTTTAATCAGTCGTTATCTTTGCTCGGAATGCCCTCAGAAGTCCATTCTGATTGTGATGTAGCTTTCATGTCGAGTGAAGTACAAGCGTTTCTTCACGACAGGGGTATGGCAACAAGTCGAACTACCCCATGTGATCCATGAGTTAACGGACAACTTGGACGACTTAAAGGTACTCTTTGGAAATCTACCACTCTGGTGTTGAAGACCCAATAATGGGACGTTACGCAGTGGGAATGCGTGCTTCTAGATGCCTTGCATTATGTTCGTTCCTCATGTGCATCGCTACTAACACGACATCATACGAGGTTTCTTAACTTTAACCGGAGGCCAACGTATGGTATGGGAGAAGATGGCCCAAGTGGTTAGAGCGCGAATTTGCTGACCACGGGTTCGTGGTTCGAACCCGACATCGTCTACTCCAGGCCCCATTCTGTTAAAAAGGATCCGTTAGTGGAAGAGGTGGAACTTGTTAATTGCAACCCGCAGTATGCTGCATTCCTTTCCCTAGCGGAAAGGAAGAAACCGTTTCTATTATGCATCTGGCACCCAGATCATAAAATATCTCAAGGGAAATTCATGGTTGTACGTGGGCTGGGATACTGCCGGGGTGCCCATACCTAGACAGGAGGACGATTAGGGTCCTCAACCAAAGCCTTTGGCTCAAAAGCCTAACCGCAAGGCAGCGGTGCTTGGCGGGAAATGCAAATGCATTACCATTTCTACGGAACAAGTCGCCACATGTTCCAA